AATGTTTAGACATGATGATGACCTATATGCTTTGGTCGAAACTTCGGCAAGCCTAATAAAACAATCTAGACTACAATTACTGGCTACATATTGTCCTTAAAATTAAAAAAACAAGTATAACCGTATTCAAAATTATTGATTTTCTATTTTGTCATGGAAAAAAATGTGAAATACCAATGTGTTGCCATGTGCCTACTAACACCTAACCAAAAAAATGCAAACGTAGATCCGAGGACATCACATTGCCCAGCTGGACCCTTTGGGCATCTCGTCAGCTGATTTAGATGAAAGGCACCCCCCTGAACTCCTCTATAGTCATTACAAGTTCGGTAAGTAGCTAGGGGTTTGTGTTTTATATTTTAATTTTTTATTTTGTTTTATTGATTTATCTTTTATTATTTAATTTTATTTATTTTTTTAGGTACGAGTTAATTTTTTTTTTTTGTAATGAACGAGAACTTTTTTTTTTTCATGTTTTCCGGATCAAGAAAAAAAAAAATGTAGTTTTTCTGGCAATATCGACTTGTTTTTAAAACGTTTTATCTGTCGAATCATTAAAAATTGTACTCGTTTATTCTTCTTGTTCATCTATTTAATTTTCTAAAAGTGATTAAATTTTTTATATTTGTGAAATGTTTTTGTTTCGTATGTCTATTCATGGGCTTGTTATGTACCAAGTTATTTGTTTTCTGGCTTTTAAAATATCATTTTACCCTACATTAGTTTGTTTTATTTCTAAATATTAACCCTAATGCAGTTTATTGTTTGTATAAGTATATACCTATTGATATATAGTGTATTAAATAGTTGAATAAATAAAAAAATATTGTTTTGAATATTTAATACTTGACCGTTGCATTATAAAGGAAGGAGATGGTCCGGAGTGGGGTTATAAATAGGCCAAATAGTGGCAAAACTATTTAGCCTATTTATGATCGCCGCCCCGGACCATATCTTTACTTTAAAAATATTGTTTCTTTTTTAATTTATAAATGATATCTCATTTTCAAGTAATGGCTTAAGATTCAGTTTATCGGGACTACAGGAATTATGCTCTTCTGATAGGAGAGATTTTTAATAGAGAGGTACAACAGGCCTTTTGCCTTGCTGCCACATTGCATTTTTGCCTCAAAACAAAAAAAAAAAAATGGCTTAGATTATTTATTAGTCCTTGGTACAGATTCCTTTTTATCAAATTATCAATATCCCACTGAAATTTCGTAAATAGCTTGATCTGATCGTAACCTACAAATATTTTATTTGCGAAAATTCTCGGAATTTGGGCGTTTTCGATTTGGAGATAGGAAAACTTTGTTTATTTAATTAGGTATTAAAATTTCATGAATATCTATTTGCATTCTTCTTGAATTGTAAGATAATATGATCACAAAATAGAAAAAAAAGGTGTCCTACAAAAATATTGTGCCATTGGACCTATATAACCTCATTATTTTGACATTTTGGGGGTGAAGGTCGCGCTAAATGGGCGAATAGTTTTGTAGCCCACATTTTTTTTCTATTTTGTGATCATATTATGTTACGATTTAAGTAAAAAGCAAATGGGTATTCATGAGTTTTTAATACCTAATTAAATAGACAAAGTTTGCCGCTCTCCAGATTGAAAACACCCCAGTTCCGAGAATTTTCACAAATAATATATTTGTAGGTTATGATGAGATCAAACTATTTCAGAGTGGCGACCGACCTGGAAAAATGGGAAACGTCAGGGAATTTTTAAACCAGGGAAAATTCAGGGAGAAGTGAGGGAAAATTGTTAAAGTCAGGAACTTTTTTTAGTACGTCTGTTTTTTTATATTGGAAATAAATATACAGTGGATATCGTTTATGGGGCAAATTTGAAATTTAAGGAGAAAACTTCATTATACATAAACCTTATAAATGATCAGGATCACTATATTCATCCACCTTTGACTGTCAATAACGGCTCTAGTCGTCATATTGATATCAAACAAGGATAATGAATGAAATTCAAACAAAATGTACTTGAAACAGTATTTTTTTAAAAACAAAAACATGCCAATACTATTTACTATTTGTAATATACACATCTGGGTCAAAATCTGGCTGACAAGCATTCATTTTTTCGCCCTATGGTGCTCCTTAAAAGAGCATTTATTAACCAGAAATGGTATATTTGGTGTTTTATGGATAATTATTATGCTGTTTATAGTAATAAAGAAACTAAATTAGTAATGAGAAACTACATTAATATTAGAATCCCCCGTAGCTCACTTTATTTTATAATTGGGAAAATTAGAGCTTTATATGTCAAGCATCAACTTTTACCTTCTCAGTTTATGAAAATAAAATAAAAGCGATAAAAATAAATTAATAAATGTTTAGTTTTCTAAAATAAAAAATCCTAATCAAGCTTAAAAAATACTTCCTCTAAAACATTATATTTGTTATTTAAAAGACTGATTTTTTTTTTTACTCAAATCATTTTATAGTCAATTTCCTTTTATGCATAATAAATAAATTTAGTTATAAATTATACATTTTTAATATTTATGTCTTCAGACATATTGTCAGGGAAAATTATCATTAAATAGAGAAATGCCAGGGAATTTCACTTTTACTGTTTGGTAGCCAACTTGTATTTACGAAGTTTCCGGTAGATGTTAATAATTTGATTAAAAAAAGGGCTCTGTACCGCGGGCTATATATTTAAACTACTATCAAAAACAGCCATCATTATAATCATGATTTTATTGTTTAACAATGATTGAAAATATATTGCCATGTAATTTGATGAGCCTCACTCCAAATTATCTTGAAATATGTACTGTTAAATTAATTATTATTTCTTATTGCTAATGTGAAACAGCCATTTATAAATGATAAAAATTTATATTATATAAAAGAAACATTTTATTTGCATGTTGTTTTTTTTTTTTGTTCATTTGCTTTATTTCATTAATCATTTTTTATTTGTGATCTTTCCTCATTAACTTAACCATTTAAAATTTTCATTCTTTTCAGAAAGGATTGATAACATGCATGTGTTAAGATAAATATTTTACATGTTATTAAAAGTAAAGCACACAGATTTCATTAATTAATGTTAAGTGGTTTTGTTTGAAAGACTCGTCCACAGTTTATGCTTTTTGCTTTTTTTATTTATTTTAATTAATTAATTTTTATTTTTGTGTTTTGTTATTTTTTTTGTTTTTGTTTTTTCTTTTTGTTTTTCGTTATGTTGAGCATGGAGTCTGTTGTCTGTTTAAGGAAAGAAAAAAGGCACAACGTATTCTCAAGAATTGCAGACTAAAGTTGGTCTTCTGATGCAACGTATGTAAAAAAATAAAAGTTGCGACAGTATATGAAAAGTTGTGAAATAGGTAGTAATGACATTCAGAAATTGTGATATGGCATTCTCATCCCAGATAATATGATTTTGGAGTTACAAGATGCTTATCACAATTTTTGTCGCCTATATAATATATTCATTATTTTATTTTTTATCCTTGAACTAAGGCTACTTTTATTGGTTGGTAATGGCTTCTTTTGTTTTTATACTTACACTATTTATTTTATTTTTTTAACCATAGACCTTTAACTAAAAGAACATTTTCTATTTTTTAACAATGCTTATCGTCAGACTTCTCTTTATTCATTCATTCTCTCTCTTTCTATGTCTCTCTAGTTACTTCCCTATAAATTTTTATTTTTATTTTAATTCATTATTTTAACTGAATATTTTTATTCAAGTACATATTTAATAAATATATATTTATTTTTATAATTTATAAAAATTGTTTTGAATTTATTATTAATCATTTTAATAACTCATTTAAGTGTTCAGATTAGTTAAATTTTAAGGTAATTTTTTAAAAATTATTGCTAAGGCTTTTAATTACAATATACATATATATATATATATATATATATATACATATACATATATATATATATATATATATATATATATATATATATATATATATATATATATATATATATATATATATATATATATATATATATATATATATATATATATATTTTATGATAATATATTTTATCTAATAAAATTCAAATACAGTAGAACACCGCTTTTCCGTTCTAGTTGGGACCAAGATACGGTTAATCTGGAGTGTATAAAAAGATCAAAAATAATATAAGAAAAATAAAAGAAAAAAAAAAACTCCAATATTAATATACTCTTATCTAAGATAAAAATTAAAATACAATAAAAAAAATTGTCTATTAGTCATTTTTATACAATAATTGCATATAATAATATTATTTATAATATGTTATGAAGTTATATTTAAAGATTTATTTAGATAATGATTTAATTTTAGTGTTTTATAAATTGAAAGAAAATTCTATTTGCTACTAAGGATATTAAAAAAAAATCGAGATACATAATCCATTGTTGATTTAATTTAGTTATTTTTATAACTTCGCACCAAAGAAAAACATTTGTTATTTTTTACACTGTTAATTTCAATAAGTTTAATAAACAAGATTTGTTTAACAATTTTCTCTTTCCAAGTGTAAAAATACTGAAACTAGTCAACTCGGGAAATAAAATTAATTTAATTGTATTTTATTTATTTTTTACAACAGGTTAAAAGAGGTTCTACTGTAGTTATTTGCCACGAGTAATGTTAAAAATATTTGTTATGAAAATAATGAATTATTTACTTTTTTATTTATTTATGTAGTAATAGTGTTTTAATATCCTTACTTTGTTTTCTATTTTACTTTTTCATATAATTTCTTTCTATAAACTCGTCTTAAGTATTTTATTATTTTATACACTATATTTTCCCTATCCATTCCATCCATTATATTTAACCTTAAAATTTATCATCCACGCCTCTAGTCCATTACGAAATCTCATTGTGTCCTTTTTCTTTCCTCCAATCCTCTCTTCGTCGATCCTGCGATTGCGCTCCATCTCGTCTGCATGTTTTCCATTTCCAAAACAGTCAGCTGTATCAATCTTGACAACAGACTTTTGAAATTAGAGGATGCAGACATGGATCGAGTTTTCAAACTACCATCGACAACTTTCATCGGTGGAAAGGAAAAATCCTTAAAGCTGAGGGACATCTTAAAAAGGCTTGAAGATGTCTACTGCAGGCACATAGGAGTGGAGTTCATGTTCATCAACTCTTTAGAGCAGTGTAACTGGATTAGGCAGAAAATGGAAACACCCGGAGTTATGAAGATCGATGCGAATCAGAAAAGACTCATATTGGCTCGCCTCACCCGTGCTACTGGGTATGTTTTTTTATTTTATTTTATTATTTTTGCTCTATTGCATTATTTTAACTATCAATTGTGTTTATATGTAACCGGAATTTTCATATAGAAAATACATAATGCTTAATGTGTTATCATGCTAAGTAGTCAGGACAAAAGGTGGATGAACCTTAATAGATATTTCTCCCTCTCTTGTTTTCATAACGTCTAACTCTGTAAAGGAAGCTAAAGTTAGCTAATATTATCAAGTTTCCTAATATCGGATTGTCCTGAAAAATAATGCAAGATTTTGGTTTAAAAAGAATAAAAAGAAAGATTTACAACTGTTTTATTTAATCAAAATAGTCTCCAATAATATTAATACATTTCTACCAATGTGTTGGCAACTTTTCCATTCCCTCGGAATAGAATTTCCCATCTTTAGAATTGATAAACTCCAAAAACGCATTTTCTAATTCCCTTTGTTCATTATTTTTTTTTTTCATTTAAGTAATGGTCCAGGTGTCTAAAAAATATGATAATCCGCAGGCGAGAGGTCCGGAGAGTAGGGCAGAGTTTCATATCCAAGCTCCAACAGTTTTTATGACATTACATGTGGGACATGTGGCCGGGCGTTGTCATTTAATAAAATGAGCCCCTTCCGATTGACCAAAGATGGCTTCATTATTGCCAATTTTTGATGCATTGCATTAATTTGGTTACAATACGGATTGGCATTGATGGTTTCTCCAAGATTTAAGAAGCTGTAGTGTATCAAACCTAATGAAGCCCATCCAAACAGTACCCATCTCCTTTTTTTGATGAGTTGGTGCCTTTGGAAAATGTTCTGCAGCTTCTTCTTTGTCGAGCCACTGTACAGAACGTCTACTGTTATCGTAAAGTATCCACTTTTATCACAAGTAATAATTCCGGAAAAAAAGGGTCATTTTTGTTTCGGCAAAGAAGTGTAGCACAAACTTCATTATGCTAGTTTTTTCGGCAGTCATTTAATATGTGTGGAACTCAACATTCAAGCTTTTTTACCTTTCCGAGCGTCTTGAGGTGGTCATCGACAGTCGATTTGCTAAGGTTAAGTTTCCCTACAATAGTTGTTCTGGGGGTTTCTTCGACCAAAGCCTGCAGACATCATCATCCAGAGAGGAAGTCCTTCCACGACCTTCTTTGTCTTCAAGGCTGAACTCTCCCTCCCAAAATTTTTTGAACCTCTGTTGAACAGTGCACTCAATTATGCTGCTCTCGCCGCAGACCAGATTGATGTTTCCGGCCGTCTTGCCCCATTCCAGCCGAGTTTAAACTCGTATAACAAAATTATACAAAAATCACGCCTTGACATTTTAGTAAAAATTAAATTATTTCTAAGCAGTGAAATGCTACAGAGGTAAAGAAACATTGTTTAGAAGATGATTAATAAGTGTTGACATTCATAAAAATGAATAATCCAGTAAAAGTAAACAGTTTGTTAAATAGAGGGCTATATTAAAGAAAACTCAATGCATTATTTTATAGACATTCCGATATTATGTATGATTTCTAATGTATGGGGAAAGATTCAGATCAGAACTTGTAAAAATCTTCCTGGTCAGCCGCCTCTTATTCTGACTTCTACTATCAGTCCATTATTAGATTCTTTCTTTCTTTCTCATTTACTGCTTTGGAAACATTTTTAAATGATCTGCTTACTTGGATTATTTATTGGAATTCCCAAACCTTAAATGTTAAATGTTATTAGAATTTCGTATTATAAAAAAAAAAAAATGGTTTGCACAACACAACACAACTTTAATTCATCTCTCTGCTTTGAATAGAAATTATTTTCTGGCAATGTTGGGCAATTATAAAATTTTTAAAGTGCATTTTTAACAGAGCCACAGCTTAAAGCTTACAGCTAAAAAATCATTAAGACCATTAAAATAACAAAAACCCTATTAATTATATCAACGGTAGGCAATAAAAACCTTGGTACTCCATCTACTTTTGTAAGCCACATAACTCCAGTCTAAGCAATATGTATATGCCTAGAGAGATTTGAAAGTATATCTTTATATTCAACCTATAAATGATTATGTATTGTATGCCTATTAGTTATTAAACTGTTATTTTCCATTGTAATGTTTACTAAAATGAAATTACGGATTTTCATTGCCTGCCATAGATAGGTTCAAAGTTTGTCACACTAATTGTAAGTGGGTAATCTTGGGATTTCATAAAGGGAAAACTAATCAAATTATTCACTAATTTAATTTTCTAAAAGGTTACATGACGATTTTTCAGAATAAACGGACATTAATATCTTATTATTTAAATATAATGTCAGATCTAGAGTTATTAAACTATAGTAAATATATTTAAGGTTATAAACATAGGCGTTATACATCCATGAAATATTTTTATATTTCTTTTCATCTTTCACACAAGTACTATGAAATAGTTAAATACTTTTTTCAAACTTAAAATTTTTAAAGTTTACATTTAGTTAATTTCATTTAATTTCCTTGAAGATAGTTAATTATTTAAAATAAACCAAATTAAAGATACTATAGAGGAAGAAATTTTGAACATTGGTCATTCAAGCCCTGTTAAGCGACATCAATAGGGATAAGACCTAAACAATATTTAAGATTACTTAATTATTTCATTGATACTTTGAGTTTAATCAACATTGTTAAAGCCGTTTTTGAGAAAATCGTAAAAATATGTAAAATCGATGATATAAAGTGGAACTCCCGGTTAGCCGATTTTGACGAAAAAGTTGTCCAGACATGGACAAACCTAAATTTTTCACACAAACAGATCATTTTGTGGGACTTGATTACTCAAGGGACCTCAAAACTTGTGTTTTCATTGAAAATTCAGATTCGAAAATTTTCACAATCGCAATACTTCCCTCATTATATATCGCATATATAGGTAAGTGAAAGTAAAAAACAAGAAAACTTTCATATATAAATATGTGTATGTGTTGTAACATTTCTTTAAACGTTAGCGGAATGATAAAATTATAATTGTATAATTATATTTAATAAGATCTTACCCAGTGGTGGGGGAGTGAGTCCTTCCTTACAGACTGTTTCTTCTTTTAAGATTAAATAATTGATAAAAGATTCATAATAAGCCAACTTGTTTACAATAGGAACAACTTTGACCAAAAATAATTAACACAATTTCTCACAAAATATTCAAAGATCGTTTTTACTCTAGCTCACACAGCCCGTGATTCCTGTAACCGTCACTCCAAAAAAACAACAAAGCAATTCCTACACTTTTTAAAAAAAAATATTTTAATAATTTTGTCAACTTGTGACAGTACAGTGTATGTGTATTTAGTATTTTATGTATTTATTTTTTTAAATTTTAGTTTTGAAGCTTTCCTTGCTCGAAAATATTCAAGCGAAAAACGATTTGGCCTAGAAGGTGCTGAAATTTTGATTCCGTCTATGAAGCAAGTTATTGACAAATCGACTGAACTTGGTGTTGAATCCATCGTGATGGGTATGCCTCATCGTGGAAGATTGAATGTCTTGGCCAATGTTTGTCGTAAACCTCTAGAGCAAATCTTTACCCAGTTTGCTGCTCTTGAAGCTGCGGACGATGTGAGTATATCCATATCTATATTTCCTATATTGCACCTTTAGAGAAACATAGACAAAATTCAGTCATGAATTGTTGAAAATTTGCTTTTTAAGTTTAGTTTAAGATCATTGGTGACTATACAACAAAAGATATGTCTGCCATCTTGTACAAAAAGGAAGAGTCACGAATAACAAAAGAGTTGATTTTAAGGATTTATTAAGTTTTATTAACTAATTTTTGTAATTTTTACTTTATTTTTTTTTATAGAAGTTTTTTAAGGGTACTTTAAGATCTTTGTTAATAATTAAAATGTATATGAAATAATTTAATTAAAAAAATTCTTAATGTTAATTATTTCTACATAGCTCAGTGGTTAGGAACTGTGAAGTCTGTGTTAAATGAACTCAATTTGAATCGTGCTTGGCACAAAATATTTTCTTGTGACAGTAAGCTGTTAGCCTGAAACTGTAATGTTTTTAATTTCTGTGACAGTTCTTCAAAAAACCAAAAACTCAGCATGCTTGATAATATTAAAGAAAAACATAGTTCATTTTATGTTTTAATTCTGGAAAAATGCTAATACATACAAAAAATATCCTGGAATTTGGATGTACCTCAAGATTTGGTTATCCTAGAAGAAGTTGAAATTTTTGTGTATTATTCACTCGTTCTTCTTCAATTCAGGATTCGTATGAATCTTTAAATTATTGTTTTATGCTATGAGAATGTATATTCATCGAACCTTTCTAGATGAAGACTGAATTGTGTTCTGAAGAGGATAGTCCATTGTTCAGACCCCTTTTTATCAAATTTTTAACATCCGTCTAAAACTTCGTGAATAGCTTCATCTCATCGTAACCTATAACTTTATTATTTATGAAAATTCCTGGAATTGGGACGTCTTCAATCTGAAAATCGATAAACTTTGTCTATTTAATTTGATACTAAAAACTCGTAAAAATACCCATTTGTTATCCACTCGAATCGTAAGATAATATGATGATAAAACAGAAAAAAAAGGTGGCCTACAAAAATATTGAACCGTTGGGTGTTACCTCCATCCTCAACATATCAAAGTAATGAGGGTATACTGTAATATCACCTATTTTATAATATAACTCCTGGAAGATCACTTCATATTGTGGTGATACTAAAAAATAAGAGGTTGTTAAATAAAAAACAAAATTATGAGAATATTGATATATCGAACTGAAATTTATAATTATTTTATCTCAAGGTAGGGAATACCGACAACCAGATGAAAAGACTCAGACAGACTAAAATTATTTATACTAAACACTGTTTGATTTTAAAATAAAGTCGAGGATGAATTGGCTAGCTAACTTTTTTTGTATATATACTGTTTCTTCCTTTGTGGCACTGAATTCGCACGTATTCCAACACTTTCCAAAGTTCTGCCCAACACACCTTCCACATATGTTAATACTTTCATCTACGCAACTCAACCTCCCTGGGACATCCTCTCTCTTTTATATGTAACTCTAAACAACAAGTAAGTCCAGCCAAAACAAAAATTCTTTGTTCCTCCGTAGCAGCCATTTTCCTCTTTGGGAAAACTTCAGAGCAGCCATTTTCTTTTCCCTGAACTACTGAACCTATTTTTCAAAATTTAAACGTCCCCTGACATTAGTAGAACTAGATTAGCATGGATTTTAGCTGTTCAAAAATAATTTACCAAACACTTGTCTTATTTCAGGGTTCTGGTGATGTCAAGTACCATCTTGGAACATACATTGAACGATTGAATCGTGTTACTAACAAGAACATCAGGCTTGCCGTTGTGGCAAACCCTTCACATTTAGAGGCCGTCGACCCTATTGTCCAAGGCAAGACGAGAGCTGAACAGTTCTACAGAGGAGATGGGGAAGGAAAGAAGGTTAGTATCTTGATTATTAATTTATAAATAATTTTAAGTAAATTATGATTTGAATAGATTTTCATGGACATTGTTTCTGTAAAAGGGAGGAGACATGTAGCTCAGTGAATAAGGCACTTTGATCTTATTGTCAAGGGCTCAGGTTCAAGTCTGGCTATGGTAAAAATTTTTTTCATCAGCTGTGAATTGACTTTGAAGTCAGAAGACCGGACCCTACACGGTGATTCATAAATGAACGTCTTTGATCATGAAGACCCTTACATGTTCAATCATTACTTATCATTGCTGAAGCCAATTTAGCTCAGTTGTAAACAAAGAAACAGCATAGATAAGCTTATTTGGAAATTGTCCTTTGGAAGTTACTTCCTAGTGCCTGAGAATCGTTTAGACCAACATTAGAAAAATATAACTCAACTACTTACAAAAATTTAGGAAAAGTATTGCGAAAATAATCAATTTGTTAAGAAAAATGGAAAACTTAATGACAAATAAACACAACAGTTTTAAAAACAAAATTTCTATAAGTAAATTGTGAAGTTTTCACTATTTTTTTTTTTCAATTTATTGCCTACTTGACCATTTAAAGAAAAAATAGTTGGAAATGGCTAATAAAAATATAAACTAGGAATATAAACAACTATTTACTTTTATGAAATTATTTACTTAAAAATGAGACCTAGGTAAACTAACCTATCCAGTAGTAAAGTTAGTCTCATATAAAATCGTTTTAACAAAAGTTAGTAAAATATAAGTCTACTACTACAAAAATTAAGGAAAGGTATTGCCAAATAATAAATTTTTTGTGAAAATGGGAAAAGAACTGATAAATATACACAACGTTAAAGTTTTTTTTTTTCTTAAAGTAAATTGTGGTTTCCTCATTTTTTTTTTTTAATTTGTTGCCCACTTGACTATTTAAAAGAAATATTTGAAGATGGTTTATAAAAAATAAATAAGGGATATGATAAATTATTTAACTATTTACTTTTAATGAAAATCAGAAATTTATAATGGTTGTGAGGCCTAGGTAACCTAACCTATCCAGCAGTATGGTTAGTCTCCCCACCACTGTTACCTCAGTCCCCCCTCCACTTCTCGTGAATGAACCTTTGATTTCTGGATGTTCGGAAATCCGCCACACACCATCATCAGTACTTCATTCACTACCTTACACGATAATTCGGAACGTCATTAGTGCCTCGGAATGCAATTCAGAATGACCGTGTAGGGTTCCCTTAAGAGATAATATCTACAAAAATTGATTCTATTATAAGTAGTCAAAAAAATTTCCAAATAATGATTTGGTTTGAGGCAACAATTATGGGAATACAAGTTTGAACAGATAGGTATTTCCACTTATCCAGGGTTGGATGCACTTAAAAATTTTAGCCCCATCTAAGGGTAACCATATAGTGGAGCAACGATACTAGCGACGAAAACAAACACATGCATTTCAATAGTAAACCGCACAGTGGGGCGACGAGCTGAGCGACTATAAAGGTGACCTCATATGTTTGCCGATATTTTGAGGATATCTCAAAAACTATGAGGTTATTCTCAAAGATTGTTCAGTATAATATTTAATTGCTTTAAAATCTCTGTAAAAATAATGATCCTACATATTTTTTGATAAAATCAATAGTTAGGGAGATATTTATGAGATTATATTTATTGTATTTCCACATTAAGAAAAAATTGCTCTAAACCATAAAATTGATATTATTCATAGTAGATGACACCATTTTGAAGTTTAATTCGTTTTTATAACATTTTTGGTTGTTCAAATTATTATTAAAAGTTTCTTTGTTTTGATGAAGTGTAGTTTAGAAATGTAGTGATGAAGTAAAAAAAAAATAAACATAAAGGTACAATAAAAAAAATCCTTTACTACATTCACTTTGTAACAACTCATAAAAATTAAAAGATAAATTTATTTGAGAGTCTTAATTGTTTTGTTAATTTCAAATGGAAATAATTATAAACTACTTGGCCCGTGTGAATAATTTACTAAGAATATTGGTCCACTTGGAACCCCCATACCTTACTGAAACGACTAGAAATTGCCCGACGTTTTCGACTACTGCAGCACTTACTAGACAAACGCTCTAAGCTTTCAATCAATTAGAAACGACTCATATATATGACAATAATAAGACCTATTTGGACTTACGGAATTGAGCTTTGGGGCTCCACTAAACCATCGAATTCCTCTCATTTTCAATCCTTACAATCCAAAATTCTTACTTTGTCACAAATAAAATCATCTATAAAGACCTTAATGTTCCATATGTTTCCGATTTGGCCCAATCCAGATACCTATCCTTCCATAACAAACTGCAGAACCACCCGAACCCTCTCGTTTCAAACCTTGCTTCCTCCTCGATCCCTGATTACCCTCCTAGGCGTCTGAAAAGAAGATGGCCTCGGGATCTTCTAATATAGAACTTTAATTTGAGTTCTACCAATGGGTAGTTTCTCTTCATGTTTTACATGTCATGTTACCAATGTCACATTTACTTATTGTATTTTCCATGTAATACAGTTATAAATTTTAATAAAAAAAAAAAATATTGGTCAATGAACAAATGACAAAATAATAAGGGAATTAAATAATTCAATGTACTATGAAATAAAACGATCATTTCCTATTTTTAAACGAAGAAGATGGTCCAGGGTTGCGGTCATAAATAGGCTAAATAGTGGTAAAACTATTTTATTTACTTTTTTATTTACTTTATTTTATTTTATTTACTTATTTTATTTACAGTGAATTCTAAGTGAAACTCCTGTCGGCTTTCAATAAAATAGTTTTGCCACTATTTAGCCTATTTATGACCGCAACCCTGGACCATCTCCTTCCTTTATAATGCAACGGTCAACTATTAAATATCCAATTTCCTATTTTTGTGGTAATTGACGAAGGAAAAGAAAATTAATATAAAATTTCGTTAATGTTTTAAACCAAAATGTTTACGAATTACATTTATTTACGTTCATCATCGATTCATCATTTATCGAATTTCGTTTACATGTATCTTAGATAATAATTTTGATTTTTGGGTAATCAAGTAGTCTTTCAAAATAATCATGAGTACAATACAAAAAAATGTATGAGTTATTTGCAAATAAAGTTCATTTTCCTTCATAATCTTTTCCCTAAAATTTAGGGAGGATATGACTATTTTTCCCACTTGGTGGTGAAGAAAATTTTAAAAAATGACTGGTCAATATATGATATATGATATATCAAATATATGGCGTACCGACAAAAAACACCTTTGAGAAATAATATAATTAAAGATTAAAATTTGGAATTATCATTGCAAGTTTTAACATTCGCAGTTCCCAGTCCACTGGTGTTCCTCAAGGTAGTATCCTAGGTCCTATCCTTTATACAGTTTATACAGCTGACATCCCTACCTGTCCCAACACTGCCATCACCACATATGCCGATGACACATGTATCCTCTCAGTAAACAATGACCCAGCAATTGCATCCCAAATGCTTCAATCACACATCATAAATCTAGAAGAATGGTGTCAAAACTGGAGGATTAAAATAAACTCCAATAAATCCCACCAAATTACCTTTACCCTTTGTCGTAAACCAACGACTTCCTGTCCTACAGTTTCCTTTAACAATACTCCACTTATCCCTGTTGAGCAAATCCGATACCTAGGACTCCACCTGGACAAACGACTAACTTGGAATCCTCATACTAGACTGAAACGACAAGAAACCGCTCGACGTTTCCATTTACTTCAGCACTTACTAGACAAACGCTCTAAACTTCCCATTAATTACAAAAGACTCATATACTTGACTATAATAAGACCTATTTGGACTTACGGAGTTGAGCTATGGGGCTCCACTAAACCATCGAATTCCTCTCGCATCCAATCCTTACAATCCAAAATCCTTCGTCAAATCCTCAATGCTCCTTACTTTGTCACTAATAAAATTATCCATAAAGATCTTAATGTTCCTTATGTTTCAGATCTGGCCCAATCCAGATACCTATCCTTCCATAATAAACTTCAGAATCATTCCAATCCTCTCGTTTCTAACCTTGCTTCCTCTTCAATTCCTGATAACCCTCCGAGGCGTCTGAAAAGAAGATGGCCCCGTGATCTCCTAATGTAGTCATATCATTATAGTGCTACCATTGGCTAGTTACTCAGCAAGTGTATTCATGTCATTATATCTATTATGTCCAAATTTACTTGATGTATTTATGTAATACAGTTGTAAATGGCATAAAGAAATAAAAAAAAAATAAAATAAAACATTCGCAGTAGTGATAAAACACTTCAGTAATAAGCAGATAAACGTCAATTTTGGGGAAAATCACCAGCGAACATAGCGACGAAATTAAGCGTGTTTGATTTCTTCGCTCTTACCCCTAGTAGTAGCGCTCATTGCTGCTCTGCTCGTCGCTCCATTATGCAGTATTCTATAAAAATGTGTTTTCCTCGCTAGTATCATCGCTCCACTATTTGAGCATCCTAAAGTCTACCTAGTACTTCTTGAATTAAAGTGACATTACTAATTATTAAATTATTTAAAGGTAGATATGAGAAAATTAATATATATATTTTTTTTTTGTATTGTACAGTTAAACTAATATCATTATTTACTTTTGCATACATCCATTATGAGTAAAAATAATTAATTTTTTTTTTTCAACTGCGATTTGCCTTAGGTGATGTCAATCCTCCTTCATGGTGATGCAGCTTTCTGTGGCCAAGGAGTTGTCTTCGAGACTTTCCATCTTTCTGACTTGCCTGATTATACTACCCATGGTACCATCCATATCGTTGTCAACAATCAAATTGGTTTCACCACCGATCCACGACACTCGAGATCATCTGCCTACTGCACAGGTAATTCATGTTTATATATAGAATCGAATCTGGAATTTTTTATAAAAACAGATTTCCAAAGTGTGTTAAAAATGTTAACATTTAGTTAACTCACAATGTTCTTAATTCTATAAGGAGAAACTTGAGAGAAGTTTAATTAAAATATAAGAGTTGTGTTCAGAATTTGGTAATTAGCAACCAAATCACCGCTTTACCTGTTCAAGAGATTAAAAATTCATTCTCATTTTTAATATTTTTAAAAAAAATTTTCTTATAACGATTCCAAATCATTTTATATTTTTCTTCTATCTTCACAAACGGTTAAGATAAGGACATATGATTACTCGAATTTGACACCTCATCCTGAAGTCACCTTCGTTTCTTAAAACAATGATCCAAGTTGTCTCAAGGAAAAGCTTATATTGTACCAAATATAAGCTCCTGTCATGCTCCAATACCATTAATGGGATACCGTTGGATTCAGAATTTCACGGGAGGTTAGCGAATCGTATTCCCCACTTTTGTTTTTCTTTATAAAATAAATAAAGTCGATACAAACATTTTGCTGAGCTTCAATACTGGAATGTTAGGTCTGTAGATCGATGCGGGACAAATTGGATCTTCAAGACTTTGATGCGTACAGCAAGACCTATAGTTCCTTCGGAACGTACTATTTTGAGATAACGCAAGTCATAGGGTTCGCATCCACACACACAACCTTATGTTAATTGTGGTACTGTCATTGAATACATGTCTCATTTTGTCGACTTGAGGGCTCTATGATCGGTAAGCCATATCATCGTTAATTCTTCATCAAATCTCAAGATTGAGCCACCAATTTCGAAGGCTTCCTTCTCCGCAAAATAGTCCAATCACCCCGGAAATTTAGGCAAACTAGTTATGAAAGAAAACAAACTTTATTTGCTAAAAAATTACACACTTTTTCCTGGGTTATGCCCATGATTATATAAAAGATTACTAAATTCCCTGCAAAAGGAAAAAAATATCATCGAAGTCTGACTATTTTTACTAAAGATAAACATGTTGGTTCCAAACATTAATGAAGACTTAAATTAATTTTTGTTTCCTTTGTCTTATTATATTTATTGATAAAGTAACAATTGATTTCTTTATTTTTTGATACGTTGCATTATTTTATTTTCTTATTAGCATTTGATCACTTAACAAAATGTGCAAATTTTTCGCATGGGCCTTTTGTTATTGTTGTTTGTTATTAATTCAATTTTTGGATTCTATATATCTTGAAATATGAAACCTCAAATTTTGAAGGTGGGTTATGCTGCGTCGATTTCAAGGGTTCATCATTGAAAACAAGGAGAAAAAGCATTTTCATGAACTGTAGTCAAATTCATATATTCAGTAGAATTTTTTAGTTACATTGATTGATGTAGTAAATAAAATTCTTTCCAAAAAATGAACATTCCCTATTTATTTTTTTAACAAACTTCATGTATTATTTAGTCAATAGAAGTCTTAAAAAAAAAAAATTGGGTTTTCACATGAATTTTCAATTTTTATTTATCAGTAAAGATTAGGATATAACATTAAAAACATAAAAAATCCTTTTTAGATGTCTCTGATGCTTGTTTGTTACAATAATTATCACTATAGGAAAGATGTGGGGATGGACCTACATTAAGAGAGTAGAGACGTAGTTATGTCGGATGTTGCCAACTCATAGCTCATACCGTTGGGTCATTTGTACTTTTTAAGTTGGAATAGTATTTCTAACTTATCTTTCCGATTTTCTTTTTTTTTCTTTTCCATCCTGTCATCTCCGAGTTTAAATATTTAGTTTTAAGTTTATTTTATTAGCTTTTATAAATGCGTGTATGTAAAGGATACTTAAATTATGTATAATCCGCGCCACAGACCCCTTTTTATCAAATTATTAATATCCGTCTAAAACTTGGTGAACGGCTTCACCTTTTCGTAACAAATAACTTTTTTGTGCTATCTCTCACTCAATCTTATGTATCGTTCTTTATCACATTATACTGCACCTCAAATTTATGTAATTAATTTTTTTTCTATGCAAATATCCAAGTTAACAGTCATTGAAATTACATAGACTCGATATTACCTACCGTTACCTTATTATATATTAATGATTTGTTATTGTTTAATATTTCCAGATGTTGCCCGTGTCGTGAATGCGCCAATTTTCCACGTCAATGCTGACGACCCCGAGGCTGTGATGTATGTTTCTAACGTTGCCGCTGAATGGAGGAATACATTCCACAAGGATGTCGTAATTGATCTGGTTAGTAATTTGAATTATCTGTTTAACCATTATCAATTAATTATTAAAATTTATAACTATTTTTATTTAAAGTACTAGCTTTACCCAGCCAAGCGCTGCTGTGGCTTAGCCTGGAAAAATGAAAAAGCAAGAAAATAGAAAGCACATATGAGTAGATTAGAAGCAAAGGACATCTGTCATTTTTAAAAAGTTGGGAAACAAATTTGTCTGTAAAATGGCTTCAATTGAAACTAATTCTAATTGTTTTTTTTCTCATGATTCAAATTGAACATTCATAATCATCAGAAACAGTCTGAGTTAAACTTATTAAACTAAATTAAAAAATTAATTAAACAAACGTATAATAGTATTGACCTACATAAGGAGAATCATATAAATTCTTCAAATGATAATTTCGATTGCTGTAGTAATTATAAAATTTTCGATTAATCAATAAAAAAAAATACTTGCCGACGTTCGGTAGTGAGGAAGCAAAAGGAAACTGCCTTTCCTGAAGAGAAAGCAGTAAATGTTTAAAACTCAATAACTCTGCAACGAACCGTCCGATTTCGATGATTTTATTTTTTTTTATTTTGTCAGCAATTCAGAAATCTTTCATATAATTATGTTATACACATAAATTAAAAGAGTTTCAAGGAGAAGACTTTAGCCAAGTTTCGTTAAAATCGGTTAAGCCGTTTTGGCACTACAGTTTATAGCGACACATTTTTTGTGGCTTTGAACAGGAAAGCATTTACATTTTTATTTTTTTTACATATATAAAATTATCGTAAGACCGAAGTACTATGCCAGAAACCTTCCCAGGAGTGTACGGAACAACTTTCCAAAGTTTCATGGCGATCGGTTGAATGGTTTAGTAATGCACTAAGGACAGACAGACATACATTCATTTTTATATAATAGATTATGCGCTTATAACTTTTATTCTGTCTTGTGGTATTGGTCAATAATTATAATTTTTTGTTATTTATATATCATCTGTGCGACACCAAAGTGGATGGCCTATTAGAAAGTTTATTGAACTCTAAAATTTAGGTTCAGAATAATGATTGCAGATGTAAGGTAGTAAATTTATAATTTAATTGCCCATATCTTGCTAAATATACGTTTCCCCATTTGATCTATGATTATCATCCAATGTTATTAAAAAAAAAAAAAAAAAAAATGTCTTACAGAAAATCACATATGCAAAAGTAGCAAAGTATACATATACGCTAGTTTGCCATTGGACCAACTATAATTTCACAATTACTTTGATTACAATAAATGTGGATTAAGTTGTCTCTAGTGGAAAAGTTAATTTAAAATTTATTAATTGAAGAGAAGATTGGTAGAGGAGTTCAGTAAAAATAAATTATATTTATTTATTTATTTCTACTGAACCCCCCTCCTCCCCCACCAATCTTCTCTTCAATTATAAACTATAGTCAACCATCTATCCATAATTAAATTTTATTAGGTAGATTTGTCTAGTATGTGTTGAGAATGACATCACCTTAAATCGATTAATTCAATTTTTTTTTTTTAACTTTTTCTAATTTTGGTATAATTATTACTTAAATGTAGTGATCGCTAAAGAATAAGCCAAAAACTTCTATATTTTTTTAAAATACTATTATATATACTAAATATTTAATATCCAAAAACTATCTAAATAGAACATGTGGTATTTTTATTATAATATAAATTTAAAATATTATTTTTTAAATTTTAGTTCACTGGTGTGAACTATCAGATGTGGTGATATCAGAAGGAAAAAAAAACAATAAAAATCTTGGATTTTAATATTGTTTTTATGATGTGAAATTGACAGGAAAATAATATTATTTCAAATTAGTTTTTTAAATTTTAAATTCATTGTAGAGTGTTGGCTAGAAAGTAATGCTATTAGTGTTAAATTACAATATTAATATTTATTTGTTATTAGGTGTGCTACAGACGAAATGGGCACAATGAAGCCGACGAACCCATGTTTACCCAGCCTCTGATGTACCAAATCATCAAGAAACAGAAACCTGTTCTCGACAAATATGCAGATCAACTTATCGCCGAAGGCGTAGTTTCAGAAGAGGAAGTGAAGGCAAGTATCTACTAGGTTTATAAAAACTTCTTTACTGTATAATTTCCATTAGTATACCTCCGTGGGATAGAATATAGACTGCCAGTAGGTTACTTTTAAAAATAGCTCACTTTCATTCATTCCCCACAAAAAAGTAGTCAGTCCAAGTAATTTTGGGGTGTTAAAATAAAACATTAATTACTCATTTTCTTATTGTTCATGTTTGCAGGATGTGAGAGATAAGTATGAAAAGATCTGCCAAGAGGCTTACAACAATGCCGCAAAAGAGACTCATATCAAATACAAGGACTGGCTCGACTCTCCATGGTCTGGTTTCTTTGAAGGAAAGGATCCTCTGAAGGTCTCTCCTACAGGAGTCAAAGAAGACACTCTTCTTCACATCGGGAAAAGGTTTTCTTCTACTCCCCCTAATGCTGCTGAGTTCGTAGTTCACAGAGGTATGTACTTTCCAGATAGTTATTATATTTTTTAATTATGAAACTGATTATCGCTAAATGTGTCACAGGTATTGAAAGAATTCTCAAAGCAAGAATGGCGATGGTTGAAGCAAGGACTGTCGACTGGGCTCTAGCTGAAGCTATGGCATTTGGTTCTCTTCTGAAAGAAGGTAAACTCTACGCCACATATTATAATGGCAGTGTGTTGTAATATATCTCTTGTATCCAAATATCATGTTACTTTCACATTTCTCTAAATTCTTTTGTATCTTGTTCGTTCTACCGCCGAAGAAGACCTGCAAAGTTGGGTCGAAACTTTGGCTTGAAATAAAATAGTCTTTTCATTATTTTAGTATTTTTATGAGGCTTGCAGTTTATTATTAGCTAATGCCATTTATTTGTTTTGTCGATAAGCATATTGTGTTGAACTTTAACTAATAATAATAAAAGGCAATTGTTTTATAGCAATCGTAAGCCTTTTTGAAATCGATATACAGCTGGTGAACAATACCATTTTACTCTTAATTTTTTCTCTAATATTTGCTGTAAAGAAAATATTTGATCAATAGTCGAACGATTCCGTCTAAATCCGCATTGGTAGTCTCCGATAATTTCCTCGTCGTATTCCGTGATTCGACTGGTTAAGATTAAAGTGAACATTTTATAACATACCGGAAGGAGTGAAATTCCTCGATAGTTATTACAATCCGTCATCGGGCCCTTTTTGTGAATTGGAATAAGAATACATTCTTTCCATTCTTCAGGTAATTTCTCATTCACCCAAATCTTTTATACATCGTTCTAAAAACGATGTATTTTAGAAACTCCAGCTTCCCCGCATGCCTTAATTAGTTCAGTAGGAATATTATCAGTTCCCGCTGCTTTATAAGATTTTAATTTTCCGAGAGCTACTTCAACTTCCTCTTTATTTGGTCCTTCTATTAACGGTTCAGCGCTCTGGTACTCTGAAGGACACAGATCATAATTTCCCGTATTTAAAATATTGTCAAAGTGGTTCTTAAACTTATTTAATATGTCAAGCGGATCGGTCAGAATATTGTTATTATCATCCCTAATTCCAGACGTTATGGGCCTTAAACATGATCTGTTTATATCTTTATACATGTCTCTTACGTTATTTTCGATTCTATTTCAATTATTTTATTTATATTTATAGTAGTCATTCTATTGATTAGAGCGTTATTGCTTTAGGTATCCATGTGCGTCTCTCTGGTCAGGATGTCGAGAGAGGAACCTTCTCCCATCGCCACCACGTGCTTCACCACCAGAACGTCGACAAAGCTACATATCGACCTCTGTGTAACCTCTATCCCGATCAGGCACCTTACACTGTCTGTAACAGCTCCTTGTCTGAATATGGTGTACTTGGTAAGTAATTTTCTTCACATGTTGATTAAAATTAACTAACTAATTAAAATCTAAATAAGTTTTTGCGATTAACAATTCTTTCTCTATTAATAGGTTTCGAAGTTGGATTTTCAATGACCAATCCTAACGCTCTTGTGTGCTGGGAGGCTCAGTTTGGAGATTTCAACAACACTGCCCAATGCCTCATTGATCAGTTTATTTCTTCTGGTAATTAGTATTTTTAAGCATCTGTTATTATATTTGTTAAGTTGAGAATATTAACTATTCCTACATGATAGTATTATGTAGCCACCTTAGTTACTTTCTAAAAATTTGTTGAATAGACAAGTACCGGCTCAGAGGATTGATGAATTTTGACGAATGAGGTATCAGCTGAAAAGGAATATCATCTAGAATGTGCAAATCGTAATTTTTATTCTCAATTTTATTTTTAGGACTTAAAATAAAAGTGAATGTTAAACTGGGATGTTTTAAACCATATGATGGTGCCAAGTCGACGGATCCAAACGTTACAATGAACTCAGAATTAGTTCATTATATCTATCAATGTTTTGAAATTTAAAAAAACTGGTAGGCACTTGTAAAAAAAAAAATTCGTACAGTATATTGTTCAGTGATCAAATAAATTAATATGAAAATAAAATAATGCCACGTATCATAAAAAAATTGTTCCTTTCTCGCTAAATATAATCGACAAAGCAAACTAAAATTAATTTAAAACTTCTTTAATGTTTGGAACCAACATGTTTACAAATTTCAATAAGCTGTATTTTTGATAATAATTGTCCGATTTCGATGATTATTTTTTTTCATTTGTAGGATATTTAGTAATCTTTTATATTATCATTGATATAACCAATGGAAAAGTGTTTAATTTTTGAGTTATTCGCAAATAAAGTTTCTTTTCTTTCATAACTTTTTTTGCCTGAATTTTCTTGGTGGTTGGACTATTTTTCCTGTCTGAAGGAGAAGGAAATCTTCAAAATCGATGGCTCAATCTTTTGGATTTGATGAAGAATTAATGATGATATGGTTTATTGGAGTGGGTGGTAGAAGACCAAGAGGAAGACCACGGATCTACCTGGGAAGAAGGCCTGCGTGAGGTGTTCAGAAAGTGAGGGCCGGACTGGAGCAGGAGGAGAGAGCTGGTACAGGAGAGGGACACATGGGTCAAGCTCTATAGAGGACATCCTCACACTGCGCAGCGGTAGAGAGGGAAAGGATTATGATGATATGTGTTTAATGTTCAGAACATTATAACGCTACACCAAATTGTCCGATTTTGATGATTTTTTTTTTTTTACGGTTTGTAGTACTTTTGGAGTTATTCGCAAATTATGAACACATGGTTAGAAACCTTCCACTTTCATTTAAGCCCTATTATAAAATCAGTAATAAAAATTACAATTGGCACATTCTACGTGATATTCTCTTTTTATTGATACTCCATTTGTTAATATCCATCTCCCTGGGAACCGGAAAAAGGATATACAGGGTGTTTCAGGTTTAAGTGGCCAAACTGAAAATATGAATTGAGGACCTCAAAACAAGAAAAAAAAGTTCCTGTGAAGGTATGTTAGCAAACGCTTTGTTTAGGAGATATTCATACCTAAAGATTTTCATTGTTATTAATTATTTACGTAATGTTAAGTAAATAAAACTTATTTATTTGTTCCAACTACTTTATTAATTAAACGTAAACATTAAATTTATAATAAATGTTATTCAAGGTGATTTTCTTGAGCATTAAGATAAGTTCGACATCTTTCTTCAACAGCAGCAGTGGCAGAACGGCACTGGATATGTGTTATTGTTTCACAATATTCAATTATCCTTCTTTGTAAGGAATTAAGGTTATTGACCGGACTTGCATAGAGTTTTTGTTTAATTTCACCCCAAATGAAAAAATCCACCATTGCAAAAACTATATACAAACACACAAACACCATATCGGCATATTAACCATTAGTTTAAATGGAAGGTATAATGATGAGTACTCTGCGAAAGCCTCTTACAAACTGATAAATGTTATTGAGAGTTCCCAATGCTAATTCCAAATAGTATTAATCCTTATGTTGCCAATAGTTTTTATACAGTTAGGGATAAAAAGCCATATTAGTATTCTATCTAATCCATTTCCTTCAGGAGAAACTTTTTTCTTGTTTTAAGGTCCTCAGTTCATTTTTGCAGTTTGGCCACTAAATCCTAGAGCACCCCTGTATATTCAGAAATATCATATAAGAAGAGATTTCAATTTTTTCTCTTTGTTATGCGATATTCTGCTTAACTGTCTTAATATTTTTAAAACATTACAGGCCAGGCTAAGTGGGTGAGGCAGTCGGGGTTGGTGATGCTGCAACCTCACGGTCTAGAAGGCATGGGACCCGAACACTCGTCTGCTCGTTTGGAACGTTTCCTCCAGATGTGCGCTGACGACGCCGACTACTTCCCACCCGAGTCGGAAGAGTTCGCAGTTCGCCAGTTGCACGACATCAATTGGATCGTCGCCAACTGCTCCACACCAGCCAACTACTTCCATATACTGAGGAGGCAAATCGCTCTCCCGTTCCGCAAGCCACTCGTCCTCATGACACCTAAATCTCTTCTTAGGCATCCAGAGGCAAAATCATCCTTTGACCTGATGACTGAAAATAGTCAATTCCTCAGGTAGGGTTTTCTTGCATTTATCTTCTTTGTTTTTTCTAGTAAGTAAATTGTATTCGTATTACGGGGGGCGCCCCCATTGTTAAAAAAATTCATATTTGTATACATTTTTTTATATATCCTTAGTTAACTATATCACTCATTTTTTGTTTTAAACATAAAAATGATTTTTTGAGTTTGAAACTTTTTTTGGAAAAGTTCCATTTTTGCAGTTTCTATGAAACATTTTGGGTAAAAAGTTCCATTTTAACAGTTTCTGTGAAACTTTCAGAAAGAAACAAATAATAGAATAAATGAAGGAGATGGTCCGGGGTTGCGGTCATAAATAGGCTAAATAGTGGTAAAACTATTTTATTGAAAGACTACGTTTCGACCCGACTTTGCAGGTCTTCTTCAGGGAGGTGTGTTCAGCTAGGAGTTTTCCTTAGAACTGCAGAACTCCTAGTTCTAAGGGAACTTCGAGTTCTAAGTGAAACTCCTAGCTGAACATACCTCCCTGAAGAAGACCTGAATAGTTTTACCCCTGTTTAGCCTATTTATGACCGCAACCCCCGACCATCTCCTTCCTTTATAATGCAAACGGTCAACTATTGAATGTTCAACATAAAATAAATTTTTTAAGGAACGTTTTTGTAATAAAGTTAAGGTTTATGGTAAAAGTTGATCTCTATTTATTCAAGCTCTTAAAAAAAGTTCTATTAAATGAAAAATAATCAGTGATTGGGCTTAGGCTAGAGTTATAATTTGTCTTAAATAAATTACACATGATTCTAATGTGTCGTTTGTTTGAGTAGCTATGAATAGAATTAATTTTTCAGATTGACTTCTTAGCGAAATTGACACTACTTTTAAATACAAGTTCTGTAAAACTTTCACTTAAAAAGCTGCTAGGAAAAAAGTTCTAGTCCCAAAAGAACTGAAAAACTATAATAAAAATTCTGATAATTCTGAAACTTTTTAAAAATAAAAGTTTTTTTCCGTTTCAAGCCACGTTATTTATTCATATTTTTAAACTTTAGGTTTATTAAGTAAAAGATATTTAGTAATGTAACATTACAAGTAAACCGTTCGATAATGCCCCATTGTATTGATTTTTATATAATTAATTTGCCTCTGTGTTGAAAATAATAATTTTATTTTTTCAATGATGTAGGATAATCCCCGATGAAGGCCCAGCCGGCCAAAATAGAGAACAAGTTAAAAGACTCGTTTTCTGCTCTGGAAAGGTTTATTATGATCTTTCAAAAGCCAGAAGAGACCGTAAATTGGAAGGAGACGTTGCCATCGTGCGAGTAGAACAGGTAAGGCTCTTACTACTATCGCTCGGATATTAATAATTTGTAAAGGATTTTTGTTGTAATCGTAACAAATTGATTGCTCAAATTATTGATCTTATAACTTTCAACCATCTTTCTGACACAATATGAATTCCATGTTGAGAACATCTTTTCTTTAGCGACAATTCAACAGGTTGGCGACCGACCTGTAAAAATGGGAAAAAGTCAGGGAATTTTTTCAGTACGTCTGTTTTTAAATTGGAAATAAATATACAGTGGATATAATAATTGGTAATTAGTTGACTGTCGTGGATAATGAAGAGAAGAATAGTTGGGGTGCTCAGTCAAAAAGGAAGGCAAAAAATAAATTATAATATTTATTTCTTACATATGCCGACGTTTCGGCCTGAAGTTCAGGCCTTCATCAGGGCTAAGAAAATAACCAGATAACAAGGTATGAGAAACATAAGTAATGATGGTAAAAAATGAGAAAATAAAATAAATAAAAAAATTATTAGAAAAATAAAATAGATAGATATAAAGTAAAATGAAATTGTTAGAATAATGACTAAGAACTAAGAGATAAATAATAAAAACTGTTACATAGTGTGGAATGATGAAGTAGGCATAATCAAAAAGGGGTGACAAAAGTGTTACATTGGGAATCTTAGAATAAAATGTAAAAACATAAAAAAGAAATATAAAGTTATATAAGAAATGAAAATAAAATAAATAGTAAAATTAAAATATTGAGAATGGAGTAGTTAGATAGAAAATTGAGATATTGTAATATCTCAATTTTATTACAATATTAATAATATTACAATATCTCAATTTTCTATCTAACTACTCCATTCTCAATGTTTTAATTTTACTATTTATTTTCTTTTCATTTCTTATATAACTTTATATTTCTTTTTTATGTTTTTACATTTTATTCTAAGATTCCCAATGTAACACTTTTGTCACCCCTTTTTGATTATGCCTACTTCATCATTCCACACTATGTAACAGTTTTTATTATTTATCTCTTAGTTCTTAGTCATTATTCTAACAATTTCATTTTACTTTATATCTATCTATTTTATTTTTCTAATAATTTTTTTATTTATTTTATTTTCTCATTTTTTACCATCATTACTTATGTTTCTCATACCTTGTTATCTGGTTATTTTCTTAGCCCTGATGAAGGCCTGAACTTCAGGCCGAAACGTCGGCATATGTAAGAAATAAATATTATAATTTATTTTTTGCCTTCCTTTTTGACTGAGCACCCCAACTATTCTTCTCTTCATTCACAGTGGATATCATTTATGGGTCAAACTTGAACTTTAAGGGGCAGACTTCATTATATATAAACGTTATAAATGATCACATTCGACTGTCAATAACGGCACTAGTCGTTTTATTGATATCAAACGAGGGTAATGAATGAAATTCAAACTAAATTTACTTAAAACAGTATTGTTTTTTTTTTAAAGAAAAACATACCAATACTGTTTACCATTTGTAATATATATATACATCTGGGTGAAGATCTGGCTGGCAAGCACCCTCGGTGCTCCTTGAAATAGCATTTAATAAACAGATATTGTTAGTGTAATATGGATAATTATTACGCTGTTTATTGTAATAAAAAAACTAAATATTAGAATCTTCCGTAGCTCACTTTATTTTTTATTAGAGAAAATTAGAGCATTATATGTCAAGTATCGACTTTTAAATCTCCTCAGTATGAAAATAAAATAAAAGCGATAAAAATAAATTACTAAATGTTTAGTTTTCTAAAATAAAAAATCTCCAGCTCGAAAAATACTTCCTCTAAAACATTATATTTTTTATTTAAAAGACATTTCTTTTTTACTCAAATCGTTTTATAGTAAATTTTCTTTCACATATAATAAGTAAATTTAGTTATAAATTATTCATTTTTAATATTTATGTGTATATAATTTATGTGTATAATATTATTTGTATAATATATTATGTGTCTTGTAAGAAAGGAAGTGCTGGATTGACATGCAATAAATCATTTATCTGAAAAAGTTAGTCGATAGCACAAACCACTTTTTATCAAATTATTAACATCCACCTAAAACTTTGTGAATAATTTTATTTCATCGTAACCTACAACTTTTTTATTTACAAAAATTCACGGAATTGTGGTGTTTTAAGCCTAGAGAGCGGCAAACTTTATCTATTTAATTAGGCACTAAAAACTCATGAACATCGGTTTACTTTCCATTTGAATCGTAAAATAATATGATGACAAAAGCGAGAAAAAAAAGGTGGCCTACAAAAATATTGGGCCGTTTGGCATGAGCTTCATTTCCTACAAGTCATAATAACAAGGTTATATAGGTCAAACGTCCCAATATTTTTGTAAGTCCTTTGTGATCAAATCATCTTACGATTTAAGTGGAAAACAAATGGGTTTGTATGAATTTTTAGTTCCTCATTGAATTAATTATTGAAGGAAGTTAGTCAACTGTTTTACATATCATGGATGGGTGATAAATATTCAGGAAACAGTCATTATAAAGTTTTTATTGGTACCGACGTTTAAACCAAAAACATGTGGGTCAACATCAGGGCGTGTTTCGAGCACTGAAGGTATTCAAGTACTGAATACTGCAGTACTTGAATGAATACTTTCAGTGCTAAATCCTTCTAAACTTACTTGTATCCCTGATAATAATATTATTATATACTATTTTCTGCAAAAAGGCAACATTTCATAAAATTGATTAATTAAATACCATGATGAGTTTTCCCTTTCGAATTGAAAAATTGTGCACTTACAAGGGGAGGCTACAATCAGATGGTGTCCCAGGGCCAAGGGTTTTGCCAATATCCAGGCAAAAATAATTAGCATAAATTTTGTTTGAAATTGTTTAATTTTTTTTTTCCGGCTCTCAGAGCCCATTGGAACGGACACCAGGAGATGTGTCCGATATTTTTCGATATAGTGTCAACAGAAAAAAATTAGTTGAAATCAGTGACCCACTAACTTTAGCCTCCTCTTTGTTAGTGTAACTACATTCGTTAAATGGCTGCTTTTATATGTTGGACTATTTTGTTTTTATATCCATAAATGTCAAAATTCACCAAAACATAAAATTTAGCTTCATAAAAAAAAAAAATTTGTATGCTTTTAGACCACACGATAGAAGTGAAAACATCATAAACAAAGCAAGAATCCATATCTTTTACAAAACTCATGTTCATTTGGTTTTCAACACTTTTTTTCGTCTCTTTAACACATTGTCACATTACGATACAATTTTGAATAATAGCTCATTACAAATAGGATGGAATGATAAACATTTCTCTTGTTACAGTATACAGATCTGATTTTTAGTTTCTGAGAAATTTTTAGCCATATCTTTAATAAAACTCGTTTTCATACGGTTTCCAGCACTATTTTCCACTTTTCGCCTCTAGCGTCGCATTAAGATAAAATTTTGAATAATAGCTCATTACAAAAGGATGAAATGATGAACGTTTCCACCGCTTACAGTATGCAGGTCCGATTTTTAGTTTTTGACATATTATAATCCATATACAAAAACACTTCAAATAGTCGACTCCAGTTGCCTTTACCCGAGCATTATACATCGGATATCTGACGGCTCAATCTAATTCACTCTTAACAGAGAAGTGCAAAACGCGCTCAAAGAAGTTTTCACTTCAAAAATGTATTTACATGACCTGTTTTGCAATAAACTAACAATGTTATCTCTTTCGTCAGACTAATGTTATCTTCAAGTGTCCCCCCCCTTTAGTCATGCTTTTATTGAGGGTGTATTTTGTTGTTTTACAGATCTCTCCTTTCCCTTATGACTTGATAAAGGCAGAGTGTGCCAAGTACCCAGGTGCTGAGCTAGTCTGGGCTCAGGAAGAACACAAAAACCAAGGAGCGTGGTCGTACGTTGCTCCGAGGTTTTCTACAGCTCTCAATAGAACTAGGCCCGTTCGGTAAGTTAATCAATTCATACTTTCAGACTATGTAGTGAAGTTTTGTATTTAACCATACTGACTTCGAGTTAGCGATTTGAATATTGTATTAACAAGCATGAGTCGATGCATGTTAATTATTTATTATTATTGGTTTCAAAATAATTTTAATCTTTGTTTTGGAGTAAGTACATGGACTTTGTATGTTATTTTTATTTAGATCAATCGACTATAAAAAGTAAATACTGAACTAATCATGATTTGTGTCATAAATTTGATATTTGTGTTTTTTTTTTTAGTATTCTGTGTAATTATAGTAAATTAACTACTATCTGTTCTAATAATTTTAAACAAAAATATATAAATTTATTGGAAAAAGAGGTGTACTCAATGAAGAAGTAACAGACGAATAGTTGAACTTATTTTAATATATGCCAATATTTCTTATTACTATACACATATTTCCTGTGTTTATATTCTTACTAATGTTCCTACTCTTATTATATCAACTTAGGATTATTTTATCAATTTTTTTATTATGTGCCAATATTTCTTATCACTATACCCCTGTTTCCTGTATTGCTATCCTTATGCTTATTGTTATGTCTTTTTATTTTTATTTTTAGTAATTATTCTTTTTGTCTTATTTAACTTTATATACCTATTGTTTCTTTATTTGGTTATTACTTTTATATTTTCATGTATTTAATTATTAGTCCAAGAACCTGTAAGAAAATCTCGACCTTATATCCTATAACATCTAGTTGGCTTAACCTTCCTCTTCTCTTCTTGACAAACAATAGAGTAGTTGTTTTCTCAAGCTCTCACAACTTCGCTTGCTCATGTCCCTTCCTCAATTCCCCACTCTTCTCTCTAACGCCTACATCTCTCTCCAGTGCTTCTTCCTACCGGGTTCTTTTCCTTGTCCTATGTTCACCATTTGTTTATACATTCACATTTATCAATTTCTATATAACAACTTAACTTGTTCTCTGCACAATTGAGTCATTGTGCACTCAATCCATCCCTATAGCGGACCCTACACGATACGTCATGAATGACAGTCAAATGACTGAGGATTGCTTCAATCGTGATGAGCCTTACACATATCAATCATACTGACACATTTTAGCTCAGTCAGTGTGGATCTGGTGCATTGTCCATTTATAATAATATATGTTTCATTAAAAAGGCTTATTTAGCCATTATCCTTTACAGTATTGGACATCAAGAGAAAAACGCTGCAAATTATTCCACAATGTTTTATTATTTCCAAACAATTATACATCTAAAGTAACATTACCTTCCTAGTTACAAAGAAAAATAAATAAAAGGTGATTCCAATTATTGTACTAAACTTTTTTTTTTTTAATCATTAGTAATATGCTAAAAAATAGCATTACTTCAGTAACACATTCAAAATTTAAAAACCAAACAAAGGATATAACATTTGGAGTAGAACACTTAAAAAAAAAAACCGGAGACAATATCTTTGCTCCTAATTGTCCGATTTTAACAATTTTTTTTTTTGTTTAGGAAATTTCGTAAACTTTTAAAAAACCATATAATATCTAAAAAAAAAATATTCACACGCGAATGAATATTGAAAATTCACGCTAGTACCAAATTATAAAGAAAAATAAAATAAATTAAAATTCCCTTAAATTTGTTAAATTCAAATTTTCCTAAATAGGTTACAAATTTAAGTCTACCTCGATTTCAGATCAAAGAATCTTTATTTTAGAAAAAGAAATTTTTGTTTAAAAAAATCTATATTTGAACAAATGTATATATACCCTTATATGTTCATTGCTTATGTAATAAATATGTTTTTTATTATATGGTTATCATGTTTTACTTAGCCTTTACGGAGGCCTACAATTGGGCTGAAACTTTGGCTTATATTGAAATGAGTTTACATATTTGCCTGTTTTATGTTATTGCTGATTGCATTCCCTTCCTCCTCCTCTCATTTATAATTCGGTCTATCGTCAATAATATGTCTACTATTAAAAAAAAAAAAAAAAAGATAATTTTTAAGATTTCAATGTGGAACAGCTGTAACTACTGATTTGCTCTATTTGCTTTGTTTATACTTATAATTAAATGGTTTTGTTTGCCTTTACTGTTGACAGATTTAATGTTTGCCTTTTGTTTTTACAGAATATTATATTATATTATATAAACGACAAAAATGTAGTAATCTTTATTTCAAGGATAATAATTAATAAGAATTTATTTAACAAAATAGGCTAATTAGAGTTAATAAAAGTATTGCGATTTTGAGAAAATATTTGATTTTTTATGAGTATTAATTTTGTCTATGTGTATGTAGAACAATAAAACATTTTTGTGCTAGTTTTTTAATATTAAAAATTTAATATATATATATATATATATATATATATATATATATATATATATATATATTTTCATTTATTGAAAATAATTGTAAAGCAGGTTATTGATACAAAATACTTTTTTTTTTTTTAATGTTTTCTAAAATATATTTGACAGGGAAAAACACAATTTAAATCAGGATTTTTTGATTTTTTTTTTTTATAATTATTGCACAATAAAATTGAGTCAAAGAATGAAAGCAGTCTTATATTAGATGAAAATTATTATGTGTTGCCTAGGAGCCCTGAAAAGAAAGGCTTCTTCAGCTTTCTATTCAGCAAACACGAGGAGCCGAATCCTAGCGAGGCCTCCCCTCCACCTCTCCCTAGGACGATTAGGTATGATAAAAAGAGAGGGATCCTTCTGTCTTCAGTCTCGGGCACTCGATAGCCTTTTTACATAATTTTTTTGCCATTTTTAAAAATAATTTTAGAAATATTTCGTTCAATTAGAAAATATATAATTATAAGTTTAATTAGACTAATGAAGGCTCTGTTTTTGAGTATAAACTATTATATAAAATTACGTTTTATATTTCTAATTTATTTTTGGTAAAATTATAGTAGTATCGAGTTTGAACGACACAGGTAGGACCAAGGTTATATCTATAACACTGTACATGGAAAACCAAAGCTAGTTGAATGTGTTCAAGGTCAGTAAAACTACCAGATTCGCTCACTCAGAAATGCGTGGTGGGGGAACTTGAAACGTGACGTAAGGAATAGACTGTCTGACCTACCTTATTACTCATTCAAGCCTATCAATGAAAGCTTATTTCAACATTATTGTGCTTTTTTTTTGGTTTTCTAGTTTAATTTATTGAGAAGAATACTTTTCTGTGTTTTTGACGTTTGATTGAAGATAATTTCAAGCAGATAAATAAATAAATACAGCTATCAATCTAGAAACGGCTATAAAGATGATAGGCCAGAACTGAAACGAAATTGATATTAAAATTATTTTTAAATTCTTTATTTCAAAATCTCTGTAAATAATATACAAATATATTACATAAATAGAAAAAAACTAAGATTTATATATATTTAGAGAACATTTTAGCACAATGTTTGTGTAATTTTGTTTGTAGGTCTCGTGGGTATTTCTTTTAATATTATAACGATATTATAATAATATTTTAAGGGTGAAGATCTTTATCAGAATTTGCAGTCAAAATTTCTTTAAATAAATAAATTTAATTAAAAAAATAATCATATTTTACTGCAAATCCTGATAATTTATTTTCACCTTATAATCTTAACAATCAATTACTTATCTGTCTCTAAAATAATATTATAACGAGTATTTTTTTTTACTTTTAATAACATGTTACAGTGAATTCGTTTATTCTTATTAGTATTTCTTGTATTTCTCATAACAACATAATTATTAATAGAATCCTATAGAATGCCAAGTACAAAATGCGCAGTTGCATCTTGCAACAATAATCTAATTGACACAAAGAAGATGGAAAAGAAAATTTCATTTCATACTTTTCCAAAGGACACTCGAAGAAAAGATTGTATTTTAAAATGTAAATGTAAAAATATTGTAAAAAAATTTACTATCTTTTTCTTAGGAAACAAAATGTAGAAATTAATGAAGAAATCCTTTCTTTCAGCAAAGGGTATTTAATAGAATCAAATTTTTAAATACCCAATGATTTTGACAACAATTAAGAAAACATAAAATCAAAGCCAAAAAAAAATTGAGAAAAATCACTACATAGGATTACTTATGACATAAAAATGTAATATTTAAAAAAATTCACAGAAATAAAACATTTCTTTAATGTTAGATTAAATACTTTTCCTTTTTTTTCAATATTTCTATTATTTTATATTATGCTCTGTATTTATTTGAAATATTTAAAAAGTAGTATTGTGGTACTTTGCAAAAAATTATACAACTTGTTAAATTACATTTTATTTGCTTCGGAATAAACCAAACCTTTCTCTCACCTTTCAAATTTATTAAAATTAATAAGTTATTTGGCAATACAGTATTGATTTAATTTATAAAAGTAAATAATAATCTTAAAATGTCCAGAAACAAAGGGCGGAGGGGTAAACTTAGTCTTTTGGCTACGTCATAGCTCAATTCCTCGCCGCCATTTTCCCTCTGAGTGAGCGAACCTGGTAGTTTTATTGACCTTGGAATGTGTTTGTCTTTTGGTAGCTTAGTTTAGCTTACAAATGTTATATTTGGCTGGTCCCTGTAGTATGAGTACAATATTTTGTGGTATGATTGAGAATTATTTTTGGTCATAATATGTTTACAAAATAGTGATTCACATAAAGTAGCATACTTCTGATGTATGATACAGTATTTTCATCAATTTTTCGTGTTAAACAATTTTTTTTTTTTTTAACATTTGTATTGGCATTTCCAATATTTTTATTTGTATTCCAAAGGTAGCCTATTTAGTTTCTGTTAGATATTTTACATAATTATAATTATACATTTTTTTATAATGTTAATATTGTACCGATTATGTAAAATGATTATTGAAAAGATCAATTTTGTTCTGACAATTACCTTCATTAGTCTTAAACATAAAATATTTGTTTATGAAGATGAGGATTCTGTTACCAATTACTACAACCTCTCTTAATTATTATTATTTATTTTATATCTTACATCTTGAGAAGCTTTCGGAGACCTGCTCCATATTCATGTCTATAATACAACACATTTCTTTTTTAATTTTCTGATTCTCACTACAGACCTTGAAGATCTTTGACAGCAAGATGTGGTCTCCTAGACTACATCCTAATTCCCGATTTAAGTATACAGGGGTAAGGTCATCAGTCCTACGTCCGGTCGGTGTGAGTTATCTCCAGTAGGCTGACAGGCTCACATACCCGGGGAGGGTGGTTAGCCCCGGGGGAGGGAATCTCGGGCAGTGTGGCTTTCCCTGATGGATGGTCTCCCTACTCGGGCGGTCAAACATCCAAGTGCTAACCGCGCTCGGCATTGCTTAACTTTGATTACCTCTTGCAAGCACCTTAGCCCGTACGGCTACTCCAGCCCGCCAATATAACACATTACAATCAATAAAATAATCAATTAATAATGTTACATCCTTTTTTAAATTGGCATGCAATCATATCATTTTATGCTGTACCTTTATCCCTTATTTTTTTATTTTTTTTTTTTTAAATCATAAATGATTGGAACAGCGTTCTTCGTCTCATATTTTATATAAATTATTTTAGATTTATTTAATTTATTTGTTATTTTATTTTTTTAATATAATTTTAGATTAAATAAGATATAAAATAAATAGTAATAATTAGAGAGAGTGTAATTAGTAACAGAATCCTGATCTTCATGAAATATAAACAATCTAATATTACCTAAATGTTATGGATTACTTCTATTCATGCTTTTAATTTAAATATATATTTATATTTATTAATAGGATGACATAGCGATTAGTCGCATCTGTATACTTTCAGACACACTAGGTTACTTTTGGCATTCCATATACAGTGTGATTGATTTGATCTTGGCAAAATATCTGTTAAAATGTAACACTACTATAGTTTTACTTAAGTATTTGTTTTATATTTTGTTTTTCCTTTTTTTGCTACTAACCAAAATCAGTATTAAAAGTTTTGCTGATAACGTGTAACTAGTAGATGATTGCCCGAGTTGTTGACAGAAAGGGTATTATACTATGCACTTCATGTTTACATCATTATACCATCACATGATAAATTCCCTAAAGTGAAAGGGTTCGGCTTCATCGTTATTTCATTATATTTGTCGATAGGGCATTCGAGTGCTCTAGACCTTTTGAAAGATGGAGGACCGTAGCGACTTAAAATAATGTTTCTCTTACAGCTTTCTTCACGATTCTCTGTACCTTAGCATGCTCTCATATGCTTACTGTTAGCTAATTTAGATTACATGTATTTTGTAATCGTGATGGGAATAAATATTGTTATTATAATTTAATCTCTAACCTTCATAAGGTGATCTAACTTCTCGGCCTTCTGGTTTAGAAATAATTTTATATTTAAAAAAAAAAAAAAAAAAAAAAGAAGGAAGGATTTTTAAAAGTATTGAATAATTCAATTATAAATGTTGTATATAAAAAGATCAGAAGTCAAAAAAGTTTTTACACCTGCTGAAAATTAATATTTAGGTCACATTAATGGATAAATTCCTCTTAGATCAAATTTATAACCTTAGAAAAAAAATTGTTTCATTGTTTACTTGTAAGTTTACAATCGTATAATATATTTTATTTATTTTTTGCATGTTTTTTTTTCTATACTTTGAATATATTAATATATATAACGTATTTATATATTAACCTGTTCTGATTGCTTATGTATTATAACTCATTAATCTATTTTATCACGGCATGGTTTGCATGATTTGGAAAGATGTTAATGTGACCGTTCAGCTATTTATTGTCTCACTTGATAATATATATAAATATATTTTTGTATCATGTTCAGGTACGCTGGAAGACAAACGTCCCCATCGCCCGCTACGGGTAGCAAGATGCAACACATTAAAGAGCTTAATCAACTTTTGGATGATGCCCTTAACTTTTAAAGATTACCTATCCCAACTTGACCACAATGCTAAGTCGCCAGTCTTAATAACACGTTAGTATAATGCTTTTTGTTACGAAAAGAAGAAAAACTGAGGAGTGAAGTCTATTTTTAAAGCAAATGTTATTGTTTTGGCCGATGGGTTTAGTGAATAACCTGTATGCCTGTTATGAGGAAGGCATCTAGTGAATCATTATTTTTTAGAATAATTTTTAATTTTATTTACTTCTTGGAGTAAGATATTTATTATTATTATTGTTCAATATTTATTGCGATCTTATCATTTAATTGTATTTATGTATATAGAACATTGTTTTGTCTGTAAAAAAAAAAAAGTTATCGAAAATAGAAAAAGAAAAAAAAAAATCAACCATTTCTTTTAAAGTAATTAACAATTTAAAATGTTGGGCAATCATCTAACTCTCACCAAAACTGACAAATTGTTTTATAGTGGTTATTAATATTATAAACCTTTACTTCAGCAAAGGAAATTGTTTTGTTTTGTTCACTTGTTTATTTTATTTATTCATCATGATGTATTTATTGTAAATGTTAAGAAACCAGTCAAGATGTTGAAAATATTGTAATGGTTATGTATATTTAAGTATATAAATAAAAAGTGCACATAGCCCTTGTCAGATCTAAATTTTCCTTATTACCTTTTTATATTTTTGTCTGTTGCCGCATGTTCCTATTCCTTATCTTATTCTAAAGATAATTTAAAAAATGTTATTTAGAATCAATAGGAGTAATGAATTTACTGGAAGAAAACAGAATACACTGCACTGAATATAGAAGGTAAATTTTAAATTTAATATTTTT